TACTGACAGTGTCCTGGGGTCTGTAGTGACCAGTAGTCAGGACAGCAGGGTCAACACCCCACTCTTACTGATAGTGACAGTGGTTTAATGTCTTAGCTGAAGGACACACCCACAGACACAACCACAGACGGAGACAGATTCACAGACACAACCACAGACAGGGACACACTTATCCATAGACACAGAGAAACAGACAATGGCTCTCACACACGAACAGACACACACAAGCAGACATAGGCACACATGAGTAGACACAAACACACAGACACACAAATGAATAGACACACACAAGCAGACAGACGTGAATAGACGCACACACAAGCAGACACAAACACACAGACACACACAAGCAGACAGACACACACATGAACAGACACACACAAGAAAACACAAACACACAGAAGCACAGTTCAGAGGTCACACAAGCAGACAGAAAAGACACATGGACACACACATGAATAGAGACAGACACACACACACACACACACACACACACACACACACAGATACAGACACACACACACAGGCAGATAAACTCAGAATCAGCAGGGCTGCCAGGTGCGCGTGGCGCTGCTAAGCACGCGGTGCATCAGCCTCCCTGTCTGCAGGGGTCTCTGCGCATGTCCCCCGCCCCCCTCCTCCTCCTCCCCCGTTACTGAGCTCAGCTCCCCGATCTCGGGCAGCTCGTGCAGAACCCAGCGGAACCCGGACTCGCGCGCTGTGGACATTCGGGTGGAAACGGCACGAGCCGAGCCCAGGCTGCAGCGCGTTCTGAACGCGCGCGCGGTCCCCCAGCCGCGCCCGCACCCTGCCGCCTCTTACAATTAACAGGTCTAATTAATTTCCATCTCATCCGGGCGCGAGTCGCTGTCTGTGCTGTTCAGGGTGCTGAAGGAAAACTGGTTTGGTTTCTAAGATCATCGCGGCGTGAAATACGCAGGCGCCACTGTAGGCACAGAAATCCATCTATGCGCGTCTCTCAAGCAGAATAAAATACTGAAATAAAATCGCGACACTGTGTGCGGAATGGCAGAGGCAGATTTTCAGACGTTCACCTCAATCATGGACGCCCTGGTTCGGATAAGTGTGAGTATTTCATTCTGAACGTGTCGTGTTGGTGTGCGCTGTCCAGATGTGTTGTTTGTCGAGAAACACAAAGAGGCTCTTGCGTGCGTGCAGTGAGGGAGCGTGTAGATTCCTGTGTGTCCACGGGAGTCGGCGCACGGCGCGCCGGCTCTTCAGAGCCGCGGCAGAAGGACGGTTCCGGGCCTGATGAAACGCAGTGTGAGTGTGAGCGCCGGTGTCCAGTGGGTTTGTGCTCACCGGCGCCTTGCTCGACTGGAAGCAGGTCAGGGGACAGGTGGAGACAGGCAGAGAGAGAGGAGAGAGAGAAAACTGCACCTCTGTCTGTTTCTGTCTGTGT